GCCTCAAGTAGGGTGGTGGCATCACAGATGTTTTTCTATTCATATACAATTCAGGATTTGGGAAATAGAAATCAAAGCCTCAAATCTGCTTCTAAACAACTGTGACGGAATCTGCAGAGGACAGAATGTTACATAGCAGATAATATCCACAAAGCAAAAGTTACCACGACCTCTGGCATTCTTCATTTAAGAATTTAACTCAACAGATTCTCATATCAAATTTGTTGGAAGTTATATTTCAGTCATTATAAAAGCTAAATTATCCTTTTTTTACATATTTGAAAGGATTATATCCTGTCTCATTTACTTGACATATACTACTTAAGAGGCCTATTTTCTGCTACTACTTAAACATTAAAAACACAAATATTTACCTTTAACAGAACCCAGAAACTAAAATTACCAAGAAAAAAGGGTGGGGGAGGTTTTGGGGGTTTTTTTGTGGTTTTTTTTTTTTGCCCTTTGGTGAGAGAATCAGGGTTAAGGTACTTGCCTAGGGTCACACAGCTAGTAAGTGTCAAGTTTCTCTATCCACTGAGCCACCTAGCTGCCCCAGAAAATTCTTGATTTCCTGAAATAATGAACCAGGACTCCATCAGACTAGGATGAAGACAAAGTTGTCTAAACTCGCTATTGCAAATTTTCTCTCTCCAATTTTCAAGGCCACAAAATTGCGTTGTTTTTAAAGATCAGAAGTTATTTTATCTTATTAGACATCAAAAAAAAGTATTTCGTCCTAAGAACTCCTATTTGTCAATGTGTACCTGGCCTTTCCTATGTTTAACGAATGGTAGGAAAAGTCCTGTCTTGTGTCTCTTCTTGGCCTTGTAGATTTCTCTTGTGAATTGCTAGCATTGTAAAAGAATTTGGTGGTCTGTTCTCTGGAAGGTAGACAAATCAAACATGGGAACAACTCACATTCATACTTCGTGAAATCATCTAAATCATGTTACTCCCATGTTTATTCTTAGATCTAGGTCAAAGGTATAGCAACATGTGTTTACTTGACTAAAACACTAAAAGAAAAGAAAGCAAATGAATATGACTTATTATCTTATAGCATTCTCCCCAATTAGAATAGAATAGTAGTTTCTTTAAGTGAGGATTTACTATTATCTTTGCTCCAGGTTTCCAACTGCTTATAGTGACCACTTTCTTTTGAGTTAAAATTGAGATGTTAGACATAGTCTACAATTCTTCATGAGGCAGACTTGATTAGCTCTGTTCTCATTCCCTGGCTTCCCCCACAACACTGTTTTTATTCCACACACTTAGGAATCTGCACCACCACCCTCAATAAATAATAAAGCCATAAGGATCAAAAGAAGTAAGCCATAATAATGGTAATAGTGAGTGCTAGCATGGCCTAGTCAGCAAAGGGCCAGAGTTGAAGTCAGGAGGCCCTTGGTGCAAGTCTTACCTCTTATAAATGCTGGTTGTGTGACCCTAGACAAATTATTTTACCCTTCAGTGCCTCCAAGCAATTGTCTGAGACTGTAAATTACAGATGAGTTGCTGACCTGAACTGGTTGAAAGAATCCCCAACTAGATCCAGACCAAAAGAAAACAAAAAATAAAGATTATAGTAACATATTTAATATGCTGCTTTTAATTATAAAGAACATGCATACATTACTTAATTCCAGTCAGTATTTATTGAAAACCCACTATGTACCAGGTGTTGTGCTAGGCTTGAGAATCAAAAAGGGAATGAACGGGAAGGGATTGAGCATTTATATAATGCCTTCTTACTATGTTCCAGGCACTGTGCTAAGTGCTTTAAAAAGACAAAATTAAATAGCATCTACCCTCAAGAGGCTTACCCTCTGATAGAAAGACAACATGTATACATAACACGTCCATACAGCACATATTCATGTATGCAGCACATCTATAAGGTAATTTGATGGGAATGAAGAGTGAAATTGCCAGTGTAATAATGAGGATAGATCTGCAATAGGAAGTCAGTCACATATGAGCTGAGCTTTTGAGGGAATTCTAAGAAAAAGAAAGGAGTGAGGAGTTAGGAGTACATTCCAATATTGGGGAACAGTTGGTGGAAAGGTATGGAAATAGCACATGTGTGTCAAGAAAAGTAAGATAACCAGGTTGGCTGTTCTGTAGAGCTCATGAAGGTGAGTAATATGTAATAAACCTTTAAAGGTAAGATAGAATCAGATGGTAAACGACTTTTTAAAATGCCAGAAGAGTTTTTAATTGATCCATGCAGCAATAGACAGCTCTAGAGCTTGCTGAGTGGGGGAATGGCCAGTGCTTTAGGGATATGACTTTGCAAGCTGTATGAGGATATACGTATGAACGGAGAGAAGGTGGTAGCTACAGGAGTTATTGTGGAGGTAGTATCAATGAGACTTGACAGTTGATTGGATGTATAAAGGGAATGAGAGTGAAGAATCAAGGATACTTGGGTGATTGGTTGTATGGTGGTGTCCTGGATAAAAATGCAAAAGGTTAGAAGAAACACTTGTTTTAAAAGGAAATACAATAAATTTTTGTTTGTTTTTATTTTTGTTTGTTTTTCTACAATGTAGGTTTGAGAGACTTAAGGGACGTGTATTTTGAAAGACTCAGTAAGAAAGTGGTTATACAGAAATAGAGCACAGGAGAGAGACCAGGGCTGTTTATATAGGGCTTCCTGTTGTTTTTATAGAGATAATAACTGAACCCATGGGAATCGATGAGGCTAATAAGAGATTGTCAAGAGAAAAGAGAAGGCAAAGCCTTGGTGTATACCCACACTTTGGGGAATAAAACAAGGAAGGACAATCCAGCAAAGAAATGCAAAGGGACAGTTAGATTAGGGGAGAACCAAGAAAGAGATATGTTAAAGAAGAGAGTGGTCCACAGTGTCAGATGTTGCAGAGGAGTCAAGAAAGATGAAGATCCAGAAGAGGCCACTGAATATTGCAATTAGAGATCATTGGCAGCTTTGGAGAGAGCAGTTTGACTTGAATGATGAAACTGGAAATCTGCCTACAAGGGTGTGAGAAGTGGATGAGAGGAGAGGAGAGAAAATGAAGGCAAGGAATAGAAATGACTTTGCCCTGTGTGGTAAATATTAATATCCCAAATTTGAAGATAAAGGAAATGAGGCTCAAGGAAGTTTAACAATCTGTTCAGAATATCACTGTAAGTGGCCTAGCCTGAAGAGATTTGGGTATTTTAACTGCAAATCCAGTGTTCATTTGGTCCAGCTGTCTCAAACAAGGCATCTATTTGGGTTATACGCCGCACGAGTTGCTGTCTATCCTGTTAAAACATATCTATCCAGCTATGCATGGTGGCGCATGCCTATAATCCCTGCCCCCTGGGATGGCTGGGACTGGGGATCACTGGAGCTTGTGACTTCTAAACTGCATTTGGCTAAGCCAAGCAGGTGTAGACACTCTCTGGCACAACGGTAAGCCAACAGGAGTGAGGAACCACCAGGCTACCCAAAGATGATTGAACTGACACAGGTCAGAAACAGGACAGGTCAAAGCTCCGATGCAGATCAGTGGAGAGATCAGGCCTGCAAGTGGCTGCTGCACCTCCACCATGGAAAAGACAGGGAGACCCAGTTTCAAAAACAAGCAGGGGGAAGCATTCTTATGCTGATGGAAGTATAGTTAATCTACCTTGTTCTAACAGCTAACAGTTCCAGGAAAGCAGTGTAAACTTCAACAGAATCTCTTTAAACATGAAGAACATCAAAGACATTCCAATCCAATTTGTAACTGAAATAGAATCTGCCCTACTTCCTCTCAACAAATCCTAGAATCATAGTTGCAGAGTTGGAAAACACCTTGGAAGCCATCTTATTTTAAAGATGAGGAATCTGAGACCCCAGAAGGTTAAGTGAAAGGTCCTGTGTGGCAAAGCCAGGATTTGATAAGCATGGTTCAGTGTGAAGACCATCAGCTTTGGAGTCAGGAGACTTTGCTTCAAATCCTGTGCGACCTTGTGTAAGTCATTCAATGTTTCCAGGCCTCAGTTTTTTCATCTGCAAAATAAGAGGGTTGATCCAGATGGCCTCAAGCATCCCTTCTAGCTCTAAATTAGCAATCCTATGATTACCTGATTCCAAATGCAGGACTGTTTCCACTTTACCTGAAAACCTCCAGTAATAGAAATACATACTCTTCTAAGGCAACTCATTCCACTTTGGGATGCATTTAATTATTCAATAGTTTTTCCCTTTTATCCATTTCTTCTAGCTGTGTCATTAGTCACATCCAGCTCTTGGAGTTTTCTTGCAAAGATACAACTCATTTTACAGATGAGGAAACTGAAGCAAACAGGGTTAAGTGACTTACCCAGGGTCACACAGCTAGTAAGTGTCCAAGGCCAGATTTGAACTCGCAAAGATGAGTTTTCCTGACTCCAGGAACAGTACTTTATCCACTGCACCACCTAGTTATAGGTCCTTGTCTATCCTCTAAGACCAAGTAAAGCAAGTGTAAACTCTCTGCTATATGATAGCATTTAAAATACTTGAAGATTGCTCTCGTATAACCCAACTCCAGCATACACATGCTCACTCATGCATATACACACTCATCTCTTCTACAAACTAAACATCTTCAGATGCTAAAAATATAAAGTATACACACTTAAATGTCTGAACAAGGCTCTGAACTATTATTTGCAGAGGGCTTTTAATTGTGCAAACAACTTTCATTTGTATTACCTCATTTTACATTCTATTTCTGTTAGTCAGTCACTACTTGTGCCTATAGTATTAAATTACACTAATGAGGAGATTGAAAAGTTGACAGCTACATATGAAGAAATTGAGCTATTATTTTGCCAAAATGGGGTAGTTAACTGGAATTGACTTGTTGCACGGGAGGATGCTATTAAGAGTTAAGATCCCCATCATTTAGTTGACCCTTCAGTGTTTCTGCTTGAAGTCTATTCATGGGAATTGACTTGCTTCTTTTTTTTTTCTCCTTCCCTATCCTTTTTTTTTTCTGTTCCTACCCCCAATAAATCCACAGGTCAGTCCAACCCCAGGGTGCATCCGAGCACTAATGAAGATGCTGTACTGCCCATATTGTCGAGGACTTCCCACTGTGAAACCTTGTAACAACTACTGCCTCAATGTAATGAAGGGATGCTTGGCTAATCAGGCTGATCTAGACACAGAATGGAACCTCTTTATAGGTAAGAAGCATTTAAATGGCACGTGGAACAAAGGTGATAACAGTTAAGTGTTCGATAACTCATTTTTGGTGACTTAGAAGGAGCGAAAGGCTTATTGGAGATAATAGATTTTTTCTTTCTTTCTTAATCTCCTATAATACTAACTTTCCAGTGTTTAAAAAGGATTATTATTCTTCCTTGTGAAAGTTCTTACTTATCACATAAAGATTTTACTGAATAACTGTATTGAATTAGCTGGTTTTTTATGAAGGCTGTGAAAATATTCTTGTTGAGCCCAGTGGACTTATGTGAGGAGAGGGTGAGTCAAAAAAAAAATCTGGTTTTTTTCTTCTGCTCATAGAAATGTCGCCTATGGTAATGTGTGTATCTCTCTTTTTTATACCTCAGGATAGTCATGGGTATTAGCAATGGTATACTGTAGAGAATATAAGCTGCTTCATATTCCATAAACCGAGTTGCTGAAAAGGGCTCCATATTTTTACTAAAACATGAAAAGTGTCTTTCTTTAACTTGTTGAAGAAGGAAACAGAGTATACTTGCATAAAATATCTTTTGAATCTCTGAAAGGTGGTAGGAAAAGAGTGTGTGTGTGTGTGTGTGTGTGTGTGTGTGTGTGTGTGTGAGACTATGTGTGTGATGGAAAAGGGGAGGACAGGAAGAAGGAGGGAATGTGGAGGAAGGATTGTGAATCACAGCCTTTCCTTGAGTCACAGAAATCATTTAGTGAGATGTGCTGCCAAAAGATATTTCCCAAACAGCCATCCAAGGATAAAAGGACAAATTTTATAGGCAGACTTCTCCCAGCAAAATGTACGGGGCCTTGAAAGAGTAAATGTGTTTTCTTCCCTTCTGTCAAATGGCCTTCAAATAAAAGTATTTCCAATTGCATTTATTGCAATTACATGGTGACAAGTGGAGTGGTGCAAATAATAGTGGCATATTTTAGCCATTAATGTCCTTCATCATTTATGCAGACCTTTACACCAAATTGCATGTGATTCAGTGTGAGTTAAATCAGTTAAATGGAGGTACTCTGATGAAATATTTCCAAGATTCAGATAGAAGAGGAAAAAATTTATATGAGTTAGCATGTGGGGGGGAAATGCCCCAAATATGACTAGAGAAGCTTGGCTGGCAGTCATTCAGTACTGTGTGTGGCCTATTAATTACCATGCATCTGTTTCTAGAAAAGCTAGGGGAAATAATTTTTGAGTTCTGAAAAATGAGAGCTTTAAAATGTTTAACTGGCAATCACCTCCTACTAAAATCGCAGAAATTATTTGGTCAAAGCAAAAGGTATGATTTTAAAGATTCAATGTCCTTTTCTTCCTCCTATCCCACATCTCCCGCACTTAAGCCATGACTAAAATTTACCCAGTAAATTTACTAAAATTTACATAGCAATGTGGACCTATGGACTTGTAAATGTATGAGAATGCAACAAAAAAAAAGTCCAGTGAAGGCCACACTCACATACACCTTCCTCGCAGTCATAATGCCTCTCTGAGGTGAGTGAGTATTATTCCTTTTATTCACTAGATGTGTGTGACTTTGGCAAAGCCAGGTCATCCCTTAGTTTTCTCTTAGTTTTATCATCTATCAAATGACAAGAGTCCAGCTAACCCTAAAATTACATAATTCTACAAAGATCTTCAGTATCCTCAGATTCCTGACACATGGATAAAGTGATACAATAGAGAGACATATACTACTTTAGGGTTTTCAAAATGCTTTCTGCAAAATTAGCTCACTTAATCTCATCAGGAAACAAGGTGTTTATTATTATTCCCCCTTAAAACATAAGGAAACTGGGGCCTACAGAGTGGTTATTTGCCTAAGTTCACATGACTAATAATAGGTGGGAGAACTAAGATTTCATGTCAGGTATTGTGATTTCTTTTTCACTGGTCCTTTCACTCTACCATGATGCCTCATAATGAGAAATAGGAATGATGAGAATTATAGTTAACTTTATAGGCAGGGGTAGGTTGGAGCCATTTTGAATCAAGAAAGCTGCTTGTTACATTTTCATTGTGAGTATTTTGGCAGATGCTACAAATCAGGGATTGACATGGTTTGATTGATTGTCTAAACTTAAGAAAGTGGTGGAGAAAATGTTAATACAGATTAAACTTAAAAGTGTGCCGTGTGTGTGTATGTATGTGTGTGTGTGTGTGTGTGTGTGTGTGTGTGTGTGTGCTTCCTCCCTGCCACCCTCCCCCTTCCCCAGAGTTGGGTGGTTAAACGTTTACTAGCACACCCCTTCTTACAGCCCTCAGATTTACATAGAATGGCTCTGAGTAGTAGAAAAAAAATGAATAATAATTTTTTAAACCCTCTTTCTTTAATGAACCTACTTTACATCTGTTTTAACCAAGTTAAACTCCATTGATTTATTTTGGAGTCAGGTAATTGTATCCCTACACTACAACTGAAATGACTGAGACACAGCAAGGTGACATGATTTTCCTCAGATTGCCCCAAAACCCATTGTTGGAAGTGGGAAAAGCCCTGAAACTTACAGACAAGGTTCTTTTGATGATATCACAGGACTTGGTTAAGGACTTGATGGAAGAATGAAAAAATGGGCTCTTTTACCTTGATGTCACAAAGATTGAGCTTTTCCTGGGTTTGATTAACCAGCCGTCAGTCCCAAGTTCTTAATCTCTCCATTAACTGTGTCCTAGATGCATATTTTATTAGAAATAAAATGTCTTCTGAGTCTTTTGCCTTAATAACGAAATCTTGGAAATACTATATTTGCTATATAGAGAAATGATGAGTAGATAGTATGGGTAAGCAATCAGACTTCTCTCCTGCGTGCCATTTTTTGAGTATCTTAATCCTACTTTAATGCATTTTCACATCCTCTCTTCCCTTCCCTATCCCTTGTTAGTCCCTAGATGTTTCTGATCAGAAACTTGCAATTTTTTCAGCTCTACTGTGGCCTTGAGAGATGATCACAAACATAGAACTATTATAGTATGGCAAGATTTACTTTTGCCATACTCTTCCAGGTGTAAAGTGCTAGTTCATTAATTCGCTACAAAAAATTAGTCAAATATGCCAACCCCATTTTACACAAATATAGTCAAGGATGACAAGGAAAACGTGCAATTGAAAAGATCAGAATGTGAATTAGTAATTCTACACTGATTATATATAATAGCCCAGCCTTTGGTCAACACCTGCAACATGTCACCATTTTCAGGCCTGCCTCTTTGTCTCACAGAACACTTCAGTCAAACAGACCCACTCCTGTTGCTGATTATCATGCATGCCAACTATGTCTGCTATAGTAATATCCCAGTTTATACACTTTACATTTATAAAAATTATGTGCTCATCCAGAATGTTAACAATGGCAGGCAGTAATGTGTTCAATAAAATCAATGATCCAATTGACAGAGCATCCTCATATTCTTTGCAATGCCCTGAATAAATTGAGGCTAATTTGGAACCATTTAGAATTCAGCTAGTTTCTTGAACTTGTCAGAAAAAAAGATAATTCATTTACAAAGTGAAATGTTTTAAATGTTTCAGTGTTCTAAAGCCCAGCTGCGTTCCATTTCCATTGGCGTTCTACACTCTTTTCTCAGCGTGAACTTGGGATTTTATCCTAGAGAAATTCATAGTTCTACTGGCAAGCCTTAGAAGGTGTTTTCCTCAGGCTTCTGCCAGTAGGCCAAGAACAGTGCTCTCTACAGAGTGGGTGCTCAAATAACCCTTGTTCATCAAACATTACAAGGAGAAAGGTACAACTCTTCACTTTAAAAAAAAGAAAAAGAAAAAGTCCTCCTTTTATAAAGCTGCTGACAGCTCTGCTGAAGATGAAATTTAGCCTCTTATTTTTGAGGGCTTGTAAAGCCTCAAGTTGCCTCTGCCAGAAACTGTCAGCTGCTTTCTAATAACATGTGGAATTCCCTCAGTACTAAACACAACCAAACTTCCACTTGCGGAATTAAAACGAATGGCAACCCTCCATGGGAGCACTGCTGAGCTACAAAAGATTGGAAGGAATGCATGAGTGCTTTTTAGTCCTGTTCTCAGTATTAGAAAATAGGCACTATGGGAAAAAAAATAATAATTTTTTTGCATTAACAGTCTCTGCTTAGGCAGACGTCCCAAGTGCCAGGGTATAGCCACGTACAAAAGATTCCGGCTTGGCTCCTGAGTGTCATCTGCATGTTAGAAGAGCTTTTTTTGAGAATGTTTACATTAAAATAAAACTGCCCTGAGCTTTTAGGAACTAACTGGGAACATTTTGTAGGCAGAAGTAGTTCTTTCAGGAACATCCTGTGGCTATTTGGATTGTTGGGTATTGACACCTCAGCTCTCCGGATAAGAATTGTTCTCTTCGAAGAGAGGCCGAGTTGCAGATTACCCCTAGTTCATAAACACAAAAGTCAAGGCTGAAATTACATTTATATAGCCATAATAAATCTTGCATTCACTTTAAAAACTGGGACGTGTAGAACAGCCTCTGCCAAACATCTGGTACCTTCTAAGATTTTATAGACTGTGAAAATTGGTTTAAAAAAGAGAGAAAGGAAGGGGCAGCTGTAGCAACACCAAGCAGAGATTTTACCCATTTGTATCTGATTTGTATCATTTTAAACAATACTCTTTTATGATGTTACACATAGTGACTATAATTTTTAAGTGTAAATTTTTCCATTTCTGTTGGATAAAAACATGTAAAGGAGAGATAGGTTATGTGTATCTTAAAGTTTCATTTTCACTTTCCATTTGTAGTGGATAGTAGCCTTTTCATATAGAAAAAATTTTAATGGCATGCATGATAAGGTTTCAAGACTCTTGAGATAGTGGTGGTACTGGCAGACCTGGGAAATTTTTCATTTAAAAGGATTAAATACCCATTTGTAAGAGTGTGTGCCAAATGCTATAAAGAAAATTATTGATATGATTTCTGCTCTTCAGTGGTTTATAATCTGATATACAAACAAAGGAATAGTAAACACTGAACAAGTATATAAGAA